ACAAACTTTTTTAGGTTTACTTATAGCTTGTCTATTGCGTTGTTTGACCGTCATAATCGGATTATGTCCTGTATAGTCAAGTTCCCTCGATTTACGCCTATTGCGTTTGCGTAATGAGGGATTAGCCACAATTTGTGTGGTTTCAGAAAGATTGATGTTTTGTTTCTCGCGACTCATTTATTAGAAACATCAGTCCCAATTATAAGTATTTATAAACCACCAATCGATATGATTGTGTAACATGCCAATATGTGGCGTTTTGCCCGACATATCCATAATAATAAGCATGACTGGTCGTGTGATGTGATATGCAGTGGTACAATAATATGCTTGACTGTTTCCAAAGACATTCATGTCTTGCAATCGAAACATATGCTTACTCAGATTGAACAAACAAATGGATTAACAGGGGTTATTATGTCATGTATAGGACAACATCGACGGGGGTTATCCCGGTATTCGATAAACCCGAAGCCGTTTTTTAAAACGACGTCGGCTGTAAGACAAACATATTAAATTTTACCAAGCAGGTCTAATTATAAAACACCACCTATTATGCAGAAAATAACCAAAGAACGTTGTCAAAACACGTTGTATGAATCGTAGACTATTTTTGTATTGTCATAATCGTTTTCAGTTGTAAAGATTTTCTTTATTTTAAAAATTTTTTTAGTTCTTGCCTTCTCACTCGTATAGAATTGACGTGCCACGACGTACAATAAAGATTTAAATTTCATAATGTCATATACAACTCATTTAAAATCGAATTCACAAAGCATTACGAGTACAAACTAAATCTTCTATCCGCCATGCATTAAATCTTTGTTTCTCAATTTTCAGCTGTCCGTTAATAACTACTCGTGACGTTGAATTTAGTAATTCGTGCACCTACGGCCATGCATTCCATTACGTAATATGCAGCCCATCACGTTTCATGTTAACGTCACTATATAAACTGCTGCGCTGGTAGATTATTCTTCTAGAGTTCTACTTTCCGTTCATGTCTGGTTAGGACGAGGCCGTTGTCAGTGTATTATGCAAGTGTATATAAATAAACATACAAGTTATAACGTACTACTCACGGATCTCTTTACACCGGTCGGATTGATTCTTGCACATCGTTTTGTGTATCAAAGTCTCTTCATATACCGATTCCGGTTGGACATAGAGAACTGCGCGCAATTCCGTCCGGTATAATTACATATCAGAAAACTTTATTAAGCTCGCTTGATCAAATTCTGAAACAACTCATGATAATTTTGCAGCCAAACTTTTGTCTACTGCCACTTTTATTTTACCAAAAAAGAATGTAATGTTAGAAATACTCAAACAACACATAAATTTACAGATGTACTTCAAATTCTAGCCAAACCATTTATGGAATAATCCAGCATAAAACACAATATCAGTGTATCACTTCTTAACTGTTTAGACATACAATTTTCTTGGAAAATGTCCGTACTATTTATACGGATATATTCCGTGGCATAATAAGTTAAATTATTTTACTAAAAAACGTTAGGTAAATTATTTAACTGATAGTAAAGCCCAACGATACACAAACATTGTAAGCATGTGAGCTGCGCGGAGAAAATCTACAATGCTCTTTCAATGGGATCGGGATTTTGTAAATATATTCCAACCAATGTAATTTTACCTTACTGTAGTACATGTCCAATCCCCTTTAATTTCCCCTGAAATCGTTTGTTCGATGTATGGAAGCGCAGTAAACCTTAATAAAATTGTATACAATCGGCGATGCTGTGTAGTATTCATTTTATCTCACCAAAGTACAACAAAACCTTGCATAATCAAAATCAGCAATCATATATATATCCCAAGTTGGTTGTTGGTGTTACGTTATTGTTTATTGCTATACTATCCGCAGCGAACAATATAGTATCAATCGCGTGCTTTGTCCAATGCGCTAAAAAAAAGGGGCTAGTATCAACTTTACAAATTTACACAACATTCAAGTTTCTATTAAAATGCCTTTCGACAAAGTGCCTTGTCGATGAAATGGCGTAGCCCAACATCTTGTGCATACAATATATTTATTTACATCTATTTACACGTCTATATATACACATTAGTTATTACTATTATTATCTTCTAATATAATAAATTGAAGAACATTTCTTGTCTGTTTGCTCATAATTATACTTCTCGAAGGGGGGCAGTGGGACAATCGCTTAATAAATACATAAATAATAAAATAAAGAAATCATGTTGATTGTGTGGAACTCGCATATTGTAAATTAAAATCTTGAGGGGGCAGTGGATAAACGCTTCATACATAAAGGATAGGGAAACCATATTGATTGTGCGAAAGTAGCATATCGTAAATAACGTGAATATTGATATAGGGAGTATGTGTTAAAAGTAGTAAATAAAATAAAAAGCTTAATTTAAACACTAGTATTAGTATAGAAAATGTACCGCTCAGCTTAAAAGTGTCATATTTGTGCATAGAACCAAAAAATTGACTATGTTCTCGAAATTCAGTTCTTCACCGATTTGGAATGTCCGTTTCTTCCTTTCGGATGGAGTAGTCTTGGCAAGACCGTAATCGTCCGAGAGTAGATAATTATGTAGTTAGCAGTATGTGACTCGTATTCTTTTGGCTGGCGAGACGCAAGCAAAAGAACGTCTATGACCAGTATAGCGATTTAAGAACGTGACATGTTGTTACGTTTGAGCGTCCCGAATGGCAGCGAAAATAAATTGGTAGCTCCATAACAGTCATATTTCATGTCACAACGGTATGTTTGATAGTAAGCGTTATAGCGTAGAATTTTTTTGCAGTCCGAAGAAATTGTAGGGTTTAATTTTCATGACATTGCGCTTATTTATAAGTTTTGACGTGTTATTGTCGGAATGGAAATATATGAAAAGACCCGCTTCCTAATTAACTGCCATATTAATATTGGTAATACACTTCGGTTATTTTGTGTTACATTCATTTATTAATATGACGACGCAGTTGCTACGCACAGTTTTACGTGTTGACAAGACAGTCGTTCAGCGTTTATCAATTAATCAGTGTAAATTTCTGTTGGTAAACTTTATTAACTGAGCAGGATATTAAACAGTTTTTAGAACTCCAAATTCAGGATAGTAGTTTAAGTTTCTTTTTATTACCACAAACTCAAAAGGTTTATCCTCCATATAAACATGCGGGCGGGGATATCCGCAGCCCACTTACGTGTGCAGTGATAGCGTCAGCCTTGGGCTTGATATTTTGTGTGAGATGCAACAAAAGCAATATAACGTCATTGAACGCCGCAGACTCGCCTTTTTTCTGACTATTTGAGTTGTAATTTGTCTTTGTCAATGCAAAGTTATGTCAACAAAACCCGTAGAAAAGTCAGCAATTAGTTATACACGAAATTTTTTTATCGAACACAAGTCCAAACAGAAAGGCACATTTTCATTGAATAAAGAAATACGAATTACGGACCGAAGGCCGACATCCATTCACAAAGTTTTACGTGTACTGATCTGTAACGTGTTATGCATTGCATTGCGTTTTTATTACCTTATTCATTTCATACTGTGTCTCTTTAGTAATTTTCAAACCAACCGACAATAAAAGTATGCTATAAATATAAAATTGCGTTTCAAACATGACCATTACATTGTGAATTATCCTAAAATAATTTGCTTTGTTTGCAGATAAATGGGGAAATTTTATTTTGCGTTTGTGAGACTTTGCGGAGCAATTGAATAACAGTGAATCCAGAGAGAAAACAAAAGAATAAAATTTCTTCTAGTGCTTTCTTTCTCGCAGAAGACGTACTCTAGACGATATGAAACTGCGGTGAGTTCCATCACTAGCCGAATATTAGTAAGCTTGTTGTTGTTTAGTAAGAACGTGTGATGACGTATTGAACGCCATTAAACAAACAAACGGCGTTATTGACTAATGTAAAAAAAAAGTTGATACAAGCTGTCATACTATGCATTAACTGTGACATAAAAAAATGCTTTTTATGGTGATATGGTAATGAGCGGTAATCACACAATTACAATAATTTTGCATTACAAGTGGAGCCTCAATAAAATGATACTATAATCTTGTTATCCCGACAGAAATTGTAAAACAAAAAGTTTTGTCATAATAATAACGGGGTATCATATGCTTATCGGACAAATTGGTCAGGATACACTAACACCCCGACTTTTAATAACTACAGTCGTAAATTAACGGATGCATATCATTGCTATTACTATTAGCGATTGGATGATTGCATTGATGCTTTACCAAATTTAGACGTCACTGAGTGGCACAATGGCGGCATTGCAACAATCGCTGGACGGCGAGATAGTCAAAGGTATTCAGACGTTGTTTTATTACCACATCGGATATTTAAAGACCTATTCAACAATGAAGCAAAGAAGGTTAGATTATTTTCATAAAATTTAAATAATGGGAGACCGCCAATTGTTAAAACCTAATTACATTGTTACAGGAACTAGAAGCGCTATCAATGTTCGTTTGTTTTTTCTTGTGCTGCCAACTTCCTCACCCCCTTCCTTTTACATAAAAACAATGTTGGATATTGTACAGTTGTCTTGCTCATTAGCGGTATAAGGATAGTGACCATGCGAAGTTAGAACGAGAGTGTCATTACATCGAGACCTTGGTTTCTTTATTTGGGATAACGTTAAAGAAGACGCAGTAAACTTGTTCATACATGATAGGCTCTTATTTATGATGTAGGCGGTAAGCAAATCTACGTAATTGTGACACTATCGCAGTTATACAAGGGAAACAAATGATCGGGCCGATCCAGTTCGTGTTTTACTTCGCTTAAACGGGAGCCGCTCACTTGCCCGACAGTTCACTTGCCCGACAGCTCACTTGCCCGACAAATATTTACCAGCATTATTTCAAAGTTATTCTTTCTTGGGTAGTTTTTTGTCGGGCAAATGAACCGGACCCGCTTAAACATTGTTGATCAGAACCGGGCCGAATTTCGCTACGGGCCAGAATATAAACTCACAACTCATGATAAAGTTGTCCGCTATTATGCAAACTAAACAGTTTATACAATATCATTGGACATCCGAGCTAACAAAATGCCTCGTATCCAATTTTTCACGTACAACACTCTGTTAAGCATTCTAAAATCTTTCTATCCCTGCTTATTAACCACACAGTTTGTCTCCTACTAATATAACAGAGCGTGTTCTAATTGTAAAGATGTTAGAAAAAGACAAGTGACTGAAACCATTACATACTGTACGTAAAAAAAAGTGTGTACTAAACATCGAATTTGCATACTGGAATTTTTTAAACATCTGAATACATATACAGCAATTTATTATGCCAAACATAATAAACATATATGAAATAATGTTCTCAGTTTATGACTCCTAAAGGATAATATGGTTATTATAATTCAAAATCTCAAGCTAAAGGCGATATAAAAAACATAATAGAAAACTCGAAAGGGTTTATAACCTACGAAATAAAAAAAATATAATTTCTGTAGGCGAATCGAGAACTGGAAAGTTGTCATGTTTAATGGTAAGGAACATTTGCTTTGGACAAATGAAGCTCGTTAGACAGATGAAGGTAGATAAATCTATACAAACAATTAATCGAAACCAACAGGCTTTGCCAATGTGGCGCTGTGGCTGCGCGACGTGGTGGTCAACCATGTATTATCGATATGAATATAAATAGTGATTTAAAAAAAGGGAATTGTAATATTGTTATAAAGCTTCTCCAAACAAGAATCTGTTTATAATGTAAAAAAAAACCCCCTCTCCGATAATCATGAACCAATAGAAACGCAATTTTAAAATACTGCCTATTAGCATGACCAAGTCGATAACGTAGTTTACATATAATCATCTACAAATTTCCTTTTGCATGTATTTTGATTTTAATATTTAGTGTACATTATTAGCGTTTATTCGCTAAATGAAGGATGCATTCTCTCGATATTAAATGATACAACAAGACGAGTTTTTCTTTAGCAATGCGGCATTAATAAATAGGGACCATGAGACTGAATATAGGCGTTTCCGAAGAGTAGCTGTAAAATGCAATGTTGCGCCGCATGTCGTGCCACAACCTATAAGACCATTACGTGGTATAGTTATGCTACTAGGTTGATAACACGATAAAACCTCATTGCGCAGAAAACCCGTTGACTTAATCAATGAATCAAAAGCGCTTTCTGGCCAAAGTTACCGGTCAAAGCGCGCAGTTCTGACATATGATTGATAGTTGGTTTTTTGATATAATTATTAGCAGCAGAAGGGAATGCGGCGTGCATTTAATCGGGTCATATAATTTTTGCTCGTTTAAGAAAGTAACGGTCACTGTGGAAAAAAACGTATAGTCTAATGTGCAAATCGTTTATTGTTAAAGACATAATAATGTCTTGCCTTGATAAAAATAAAAAATCGCCATGAAGGATCGAAATAAAAAATAATCTACTATAGTTATTCATTTTAAAGTTGTACTGCGGTTCGAGAAATACATTCGGCATTCTGGTAGTTCTCTCATTTGATCCAGTCAAAGATGACATAAAAGGACTGCTAAAAAGGAGGGACTGAAAGGATTGTCGAAAGCACCACGAACGTTGTCAGCAAGATCGAGCATCATTGTTGAATACAAAATGCTTGACTATTGGAACAAAGACTAGTTCTTGTCAAAGAGAAATATTCAAAGAACTGATTTAGAGATCGCGGTCCGAACACGGAAACGCATGCTGGATGATTAACATTTTACCATAACCATCTCAGCGATTACGAAATCAATTACAACAAAAACCACTTTCAGTTTAACGCATCCATTTGTTCTTAGCTTATTATTTGCTCTGTTCGTTTTATTACATTAATTAAAATTTTACATTAATCTTTACAATATGTAAAGAGCTGTTAGAACCTCGGCGCGACTCGCGGCCTGCGTCTATAGTAATCATCGTCATCATCGTCATCGTCGTCACTATCATCGTCATATCTGTCATCGTCATCGTCATCGTCATAGTCGCCGGCATTTTTACGATGATAATAGTCATCATCGTTATCATCGTTTTCTGCGAGAATGGCTCTCATTCTTTCTCTAAAAGCCTTTTTCCTCTCTGCATACTTTGTCCTCGGATCCGTTGCTAACAAGGAAACAGGCAAATCTGCGGCCTGTCCAAAATCGAACGCAAGCATGCCATCCTTCCTCCTCTTGTTCAACTCTGCTTGATAAGTAAATTCATCTGTTTTTGCCCACCGTTCCTGATCCCCAACTTTTCCTTGATCGCCGCCAGCCTCCCATATGGCCTTCTTGGCGAGATCAAACGATTTCTTTGGATTTTTCGGTGGCCGTCTAGTGGAAGGTACATAATCGAGTTCCAAGATTTTATGTCGAACGATCTCCTGTCCATCAACCTTCCAACCATCCCTCAATGCCGTTTCAAGCTGTTTGTTCTCGGTCGCATGCCAATGGGCTATCCAATCGTTCTCTTGTTTCCACCATAATCCCGAGTCGGGATGTTTAGATATAAAGTTCGCTTTTACTGATATTATGCGCCTCAACATGCCTTTATAATACTTTTTATCTTCCATTTTTTTGAGTTTGTTATATTCACTCATGAATATGCCCCTAACATGAGACCCATCAATCGCTTTCACAAAGTCTTTAGCGTCGTTTTTAGTTTTAAAGCCCGATAAGACAAATACCGGTTCGAATTTGCCCTTGCCTCGTTTCATCTTTGCGCCCTCTTCTTCATTATTTATTCGTGGCATTACCATCTATCGATCGGATATCGGAGAAGAAAAAACGAGGTATTTGCGAAAATTGATCACATCATACCCCCAAAACTGATTACTCTGTGAACGCAACGGAAACAGACTTGCCTCTAGGTTATCACAACCTCCAACTTTGGCTATATGCCTCCCCAGTCTTTTTTAGTACGTATACGCAATTAACCCTTCGCCAATCAAAGCCCATTTTGATTCGTTTTCTAAAACGTCGCAAGTTTTTTTTCCCCCCAATGCTTCATGTCACGCGAAATGTTAGTATGACATCACTGATGTTAATATATCACATGATACTAGTTAAACTAACCGGCCGATATAAATTAATAAATGCTCATGGAACACTGTGCGTCTGATGAATGACAGTAAAATTAGAGGATTAGGATGGCATACCAAGTCGCATACGATATGAATACTTACATGATAGTCACCCAATAGGCTGGTAACGTGACATCTACCATCAAAAAATTTACGGACACATGACTGCAGTGGGTGAAATTATAGAATTTATATTAAATTTATGTTAAACTCAAATCTTACACATATAATAATAATCACGTGTCCTTTGAAAATAGAGACACTGTATTAACAAGCTATACGTTGTTTTTTTTTGGAAGGCCGTATTTAGAGCTTGGAATTTATTAGCAAGACTTTCTAATGCTCAATCAAAAAACTGGGTTCAATTTTGTGAAGTTTTTTTTTTCATAAATAATGAACGTGGAATATCGATAAGTTGACCAGCTTGAATCCTGTATTTTGCCAGCACCCCCTTCTGAATCAGCAGAGACATGTTAATACAGAAAAACAATATGGTTGAAGTACAGTCATTGTATTTACCCTGCTCGACACCTTTAATTTTATTAACTAACTCTATTACCCTTGTTGCCGGACCGTGAGCAAGATTGTGTATTTAGTTAACCATAACCAGCGAGCTTGCTTTTTTTTGAATACATTAATATTACTATTATCGAGAAACAGCACATCTTTATCAGACTCTAAAAAAACACGATTAGGTCTCTTGAATGAAAATATTTAACATTTGATAATAAATACATTCAGCTCATTCTGTACCCCCAAGACTTACAACCGATTTGCGTGCAATGTAACACAATTAAGGGTTGACACTTTGAGAGATAAGATTTTACTTCAACTATGTCGTCATTTGCTAATAATCCAGCCATTGCCAACTTGGTCGAATCCTCATTGGAAAGCGAAAATGAACTCTTAAGACTGGAATGGATACCTTACGAGAAAATCACCAACGTAAAACCTACTCAAATTGACAACGTTTACTGCGCTATTCGCAAACGTGATAATGATGAGACGATAACGCTAGTATTACTTGGAAGTAGCGAAGAATGCACACCAACACTTGTGAGTGAGTTTGCTAGA